TGACAACACTAGCTGTTTAACATCATAATCCACAAGTTTATTCATTTATTTATGGGAAACCATCCGACAAATCATACAAATTAAACTTGGAATTGAGACAATGAGTATCCATAGCAAGTTCCTTAAAACTCAGAGTATTCTTCCCAGAATAACAGATTATATAACAAAATGATGCCATCCAAAAACATAATCTATGATTATTGCTTACTTTTAACATTATTTCTTGAAATGAAAAGTGTATCTATTTCTTCGTAATCTCCCAGCTTCCTGCGCAGGCGACACATCCACTTCCGTGGAATTCTTGTATAATTATTTCATGGCTTTTATATACTCAATAATTCATTTACCATGACTCGCCTTTTAAAGTCTCCAATATTATATATGGAGAAAGTATAACTGTTGACCACATACGGATACCTGTGGAATAAATAAGTCTACCTTTACATATGTAATTCAGCTTTCAATTTCATTTTACCATTTATTTACTTACTTGAGACTGCATGGAGTCTGAAGACTGGCAGAGAACTACCGTGTATGATTACAAGATTTCAAGATGTCAGATTATATTTTTATATTTGTTTTCTGAGATTGTTTCATGATAAAATTATGGTTGAAATGTATTAAAATAATTTACAAATAGAAAGTTTTGTTTGTTATTTTATGTACAAAAATATCTATGAGATGATTTGTGTTTAACAAAGAAGTTGCCTACAGCAACCAGACTCCTACGTGATTTGTCAGTGCCAAGTAGCATAAACAAAAAAGCCAAAATTTGCTGATCTTACATTGTATATTAAATATAGTAGATATTACAGGATGTAACTAGAGTTACGTTCTAAGATAGGATGGACATGATCACATCTATTCCTAGTCGCTTAACATACCCGAATAAGGTGGACACCACAGTATCGAAACAACAAACAAGAGGGCCTGTATCGCTCACCTGAATATTTAAGCAGTCATAACAAAATATTCTCATTAAATATTATATTGCTTTTTGATTCTTCTTCAGAAGTTGCTTGACATATTTTTTCCTGTGACCTTGCAAGTAGGTAAATGTCATTTTCATTCTCAAATTGGTTAGTTTATTACAAAAAGCTACCAGCCAAATCTAATGAATCCATTTCTTTAAGTTCTTAAGAACAAATCCTTTAAAATGTTGTTGACCTTTGTGACTTCTAAAGTAGGTTGAGGTCATTTCATTCGCAAACTTTGTTGAGCTTTATCCCAGGAAGTCACAAGCCAAATATTATAAATTTATGCCTTTTAATTCTTCATCAGAAGTCGTTGAAT